GCCCTCCGGCAGTCCTGGGCCGAGGTGCCTGGGTCGTGGCCTGACCCGCCCGCTGTGTAGTGTGACTGGCCGGGGCTGTCCCTCCAGGGTGTCCACTGCCCTGGGCCCAGCAAGTCCCGGGAGCCGCCCTGTAACCATGGACTCTCCCCTTGCAGCCTTGTGCTGAGGCCATGGAGGCCGAGGCAGTGGAGGAGGGCGAGGTGACCTCCGGGATGCAGTCCCTGGCCGTGGAGGACACCCCAGAACTGGTGTCGGCTGCGGCAGGGGGGGAGCGGGGGCAGGAGGAGGAGAAGGAGGGAGAGTGGTGTGTCCCCTGTAGTGATGAGGAGCTGGAAGCCCCTGAGGCCTGGATGCCCGCACCCGAGGAAATCAGGCGCCTCTATGAGCAGATCGCTGCCGAGGGCATCCTGCCACTCCAGGCCGAAATCCTGCCCCGGAGGGCTCCCACCCCAGAGCCTGATAGCGAGGAGGAGGAGAGGTCTGATGGGCAGCCTGAGTCTGAAGAGGAGGAGGAGGAGAAGTGAGTGCAGGGCTGGGCTGGCAGGGGCTGTGGGGCAGGGCGGGAGCTGTGCATCTGGCACTGCTCATTCCCCTGTATTGGGTCTTTAATCCCTTTGGCTCTCTCTGCTCTAGACCCCATATCCCAACTGAATTTGACTTTGATGATGAGCCTGTGACTCCCAAGAGCTCCCTGATTGATCGCAGGAGAACACCAGGTAGGAACAGAGCTGGGATAGGAGTCCTAGCTTCTGGCCCCCATTGGCCTCCACCAGCCCCCACTCCCCTCCCCTCCTTTCCCCTCCCCAAGCCAGGAGAGAACCCAGGAGTCCTGGCTGCTCCCTGTTCTAACTCACCAGCCCCCACTCCCCTCCCAGAGCTGGGCTCCTGACGGTCCCCTCCCTTGCTAGGCGGCTCGTCGCGCAGCCAGAAGCGCGAGGCCCGGCTGGACAAGGTGCTGGCAGACATGAAACGACACAAGAAGCTGGAGGAGCAGATCCTGCGCACTGGCCGCGACCTGTTCCGGCTGGATGGGGAGGAGGCACCATCCCCCCAGCGCCCGCCGGGGCTCTTCCTGCGCCAGCGCAAGTACTGACTGCCTGGGGCGGGGCTGGCAGACCACGGGACCTCTTCCCTTCCCACTGTCCTCTGGGCTGGCGCTGGGAACTCACTGCCGGGAGGCCAGCTCAGCCAGCAGGAACCTTGGGGCAGGGCAGGGAACAGAGAGATGGGCCAGCCACTGGGGGACTGCTGGCTCCAATCCGGCCTCAGGGCAGGCGAGAGGAGCACGTGGCCTTCAGGGTCTCAGCACAGCCACCTCCATCCCACCCACGTGGCTCTGCCCCCACCAGGTGCTGCTGAGGTGGGAAGTGCCTGACTGGGGGAGGGGCTTTCCAATGTCTCTGCTGCAATAAATGTTTCTCGCCGTCTGGCATCGCTTTCTTCTGCCTGGTTCATGCTGAGCTGGGGCCTCAACCCCCCTAAGCAGGCCCCCAATGCCAGCTACTCTGGCTGCAAAGAGGGGGGGCCTCTTGTAGGCCGTACATAACCATCACCTTGGTAGATCCTCCAGGCGGGGCAGCAGGGGTCTCCTGAGGCCTGGCTGGGACCTCTGGCACAGGGCATGTGTGTGTCTTGATCAGGCCTTTCGGAGGGCTGGGCCAGGATCCCCGTTGCTCAGGAGTGTTACAGACGTGACACCCACAATACAAGGGCGTGTTCCGCCAGAGAGGCTAGGGTTTGCTGTTTTGTCAGGGCTGAAGGCGAGACTTCCTGTGTTGCTGTCGAGGCAGGAGATGGGACTTCATTGCTCACAGGCTGTGCCATGCAGCAGGAGGCGGGGCTTTTACTATCGCCGGCGGGAGGGCCCCCTCTGGCCACAGGCTGGTCTCCCCAGGAGAAGGTGTGAGTTGTTATTTGTCCTTCCCCGCTGGCCATGGCCTCGCAGGAAGGGGCCCCTGTCCAAAGGCAGGGCTTTCTGACGCATTGTCCAATCCGGGTGGGATGCTGTCAGTTGAGGGGTGGGTCTCCCCCAGGAAAGCATCTCCCCCTCGCCTGAGGCCTCCTGCCCTAAGGCACTCCAGTGCGTGAGTGTGTGAGATGTGGAGGGGCAGGGAACTGGAGCAGGACCCTGGACCTGCCTCTCCACCCCACTTCCAGCCTTGCAGCTGGGCGAGCGGGGAGGCAGCTGGGGGCGAGGGAGCAGTTGGTGGGAGGGGGCGTAGAGTAGGAGGGTGTATGAGCGATGTTCCGTCTGCTCTTTTCCATCCATGAGTGGAATTGGGGGTGTAAGTGGTTCTCTGATGAGCCTCGCCCTTACAGGGGTGCCTTCCCCTTCCAGTCAACCGGAGCAGCGCGTCTGTGATGGGCCCGGCCCCCCTTGCAGATTACACGGTGGCTCCCTGGGAGCAGGACCGGCAGCCCTTCCCCGCCCCGCCCCTGGAGAGCCCGCAGCATGTGTAACCGCTAGGCTGTTTAGCGGTTGCACGCTTACATTTTTAAATGCATTTTTCCATCCCTGTGCGGAATAAATGTTGTTCTGTGCACTGAGGCATGTGTGGCTGGGCACCAGCAGGACAAACACAGGCTGCCCAAGCGCTCAGCTTACAGGGAACGCTGGTGATGACCCCTTTAGGCCCCAGTTCTGGGTCCAGGGCCGGATAAAGGGGGGAGCTAGCCGGGCAGCTGCCCGGGGTGCCCGATTGCAGCTGTAAGGTGCGCAGCGTGCCGGGGGGGCGGGGCCACGCATGTGCTGTGCACCCCGGGGGCGGAGCCACGCATGGGTCGCGCACCCGCTGCCTGGGGCACAGGAATCCCTGCCTGGGTCAGTGCTCTCTGGGCCTTTGCAGCAGCATGGATTGTGGGGGTTGAGGCCCCCGGGGTCCCACCCCACAGCCAAGTCTCTCCTGCCCCCTGGGCAGCCTGTCCTCAAGACATGCCCAAGCCAGAGGGTAGATTGGGGTCCTGAGGAGATGCTTACCCCCAGGCCCCACACGTGACGTGGGTTGTACCCACGAAAGCTCATGATCCCATCGACATGTTTTGTTCGTCTGTAAGCTGCTGCAGGACCATTCGCTGGTTTTTTCAGTTTTTCCAGACAAAACCGAGTAGATCCTACCCTCACCTACTGCATTTAGCACGAGCCATTGCTCGCCCTCTGGACGCCAGGTCTCCTGCCCGCCCAACCCCGCCCTGCCTGC